TTTTTTTTTTTTTTTTTTTTTTTTTTTTTAGGATGAATGCTTAAAGAGTAACAAAAGAGCCAAAATTCTGGAAATGTGGAGATGGCAGTGACATCTTCAGCTGCAATTGCAAACAAAAAGTACAGCACCTATCCATCCCCTTCCCCTAAGTGTCCTTCAGAACAACGAAAAGACAACCAAGTTGAAAACTTGTATGCAAGCAGAGACTTCCTATTTTCACTTTATTTGCACTTCGCCAAAGTAACACGCATTCTCTGCATCCTTCCCAACGTTGTCAACTTTATCTTTTTTTTTCTTTTTTTTTCTCGTCAAGAAAAATAGGAATAAAACCCTAAACCCAACTTACCCCAAAACCAAGTTGATATCAGGCATTTGGGATCACCAAGTCAGATGAGATCCCATAGGAAAGATTTTTCATATTCAGACAGCGCTGGAGGGTTCTGGTAACTTGCATCTGATCGGCTTCAAAGATGGCTTCAGGTTCATGTACTGCAACAAAACAATTGAACACATTTTAAGTGCCCCGAAAATTGTTGTATAAATACAATTTGAGTTCTTAAATTCAATCTTTACTGTAGTAATTCGCCTAAAGTCAATTTCCATCAAAACAGTAAAATGAAACAGGAAAAAGAAAAGAATGAAGCGACATTGTGAGTTTTGGTTTCTACTGTCACATGCATAGTTTGTAGCTCAACCCTACAAACTCATGATTTATTTTCCCTTCTGATAATCGTAGTGTCCAATATCTAAGCTAGCTTATGAGGACCTTAACTAGTCTCGTAAGACAACTAAACAATGCATATACCATCTGAAAAAATTTAACATTGTGGGAAACCAATGATACTTTATTCATAATTTGTCCTGATAATGAGTCACGCCCATGGTTATTCATGCCTCCTAATCAAAGAATATGGTTGAGAGCGACATATTTTAAGCTTAGGCTGGGCTCATGCATATTATTGACCGATATACGAGAAAGGTTAAACACGTCCATGGATATTGGCATCAACATTTGATTCAATAAGAAAACTGACACTGAAATATTAAAAAAGATGATAAACAGATAATGCAGAAAGAAAGGACTTGAATGAAAAGATAGGCAGCAAGCACCAAACCTGCTGATAAAAAGCATTAATCTCCTCCTCTGTTAGCCCTTCATCCTCTCCTGAATCTTCTTCCCATCCAAGAGAACGAAGAAATGCAACCTCTTCCTCATCTGTACATAATGTTAAGTTAGTGCTCAAACTCTTATTCACAACATCAGAAGACCTCTGAACCTCTTCAGTGGTATCGCCATTGCTAGCTACCTCATCATCTGTAACAGTAGAAGGATGCATTGCAGCATTACCTATTTCCCCGCTCACTATTCCAGATTTTTCCTTGACGGGAGATGTGAAAATACCTGAATCTTGGAGACTAGTGGAACCATTTACCACAGTTTTCTTCTTTATGAGATTAAAGAAATCATTCCTGCTTTGTAATTGAGTAGAAGGGGGTCTCTTTTCCAAAGTGGATCCTGATTTCAGATCTGATGCAGCTACCTTCCGCTCTAGAGAGGATGAAGGATTCAGGTTGTTTTGGTTCCTCGAAGTGATAGTTGTTGCTGAAGAGGCAACAGAAGAAGGTTGGCAATTTGCAGTTCTACTGTTGACATTACTAATAGGATTTGAGCCATCCTTTAACACGCCATTCTCCCATACTGGTTTAAGAACAAGAAATTTCCCATGAGTGGTCTTCGGAGAATCAGACTTTATTTGTCCACCTCGAAGAGGCTGACTATTATGTTGCCCTAGAGGCAGCTGTTGTTGACCTCCCTTGGCAGACACATTTACTTCAGCTGTTCTGGATGCTCCTTTGGACTTGGACTTTTCAAAAGAATGAACCTGAGAATAAAAGGAGCCAACAACTTTGAGATAATGCATAGTTTTGCAGCCAACATATTACAATCGTCTTCTACAACATGTATAAGGTCGGAAGGAATATTATTTCACCAGGAAAAAAAAAAAAAAAAATCTCATATGTATAATAACCATAAAAGCTTCTTTGTAACCAAGAATGTTGTTTAAAAAGACAGCTGATTCTCCTTCAACTCTTAAAATAAGGGCTGAGAAAAAGAAGATTCCCAAATCAGAATTAAAATAGAGAATCAGATTATACAAAACTATGCCATCAGTATTGCTCAAAATGGGACTGACCCGACGAAATAGAGTACAATGAAGGCTGGCTTGCAACTAAAGGAGAATGAGATTGAATATAAAAAAAAGCATCGTGGAAACTGTCCATTTGTAGGGTATGGTAGGATGCTCTAGATAGGCGGGTCACTAGCTGCAGAACTGGCCAATGTGTTGCAGTGGAACAGGAATTCAGAGGACAAGACAGTCTGTTTAGTGAGATCGTGGTTAAATGCCAATGATCTGCTTTACAGGAGATTTGCATGTAAGAAATAGAAATTTTTTCCAAGACTCCTACAGAGAACCTTCATATCTTTGAGAAAATGTTTCTTTTGTGGCTGCATTATGGATTTGACTATGAATCCACAATTTATGTGCTGAACTTGGAGACATCATTTTCACATTTTCATCACGTCTTATAGAACCATTCTCTTTGAGAAAATGTTTCTTTTGTGGCTGCATATCTTTGAGAAAATGTTTCTTTTGTGGCTGCATTATGGATTTGACTATGAATCCACAATTTATGTGCTGAACTTGGAGACATCATTTTCACATTTTCATCACGTCTTATTGTTTTTTAGAAGAAAAAAAATGTTCACCTAAGAAGTGGTCAATTACAGATCTTACCTATTCAGCAATAAAATAAGATCATAAATGATTATGCTTAACAATGAGATGAACTAGTTTCATTTCCATTTTATTACTGAAATGTTCTACTCAACAACACCGCACTTATAAATTTTCAATCAACATGTTCTCATTCACCTGAATGCTCAATTATGTAAATCCAATGGTGAACAGATAAGAACAACTTCCTATGCGGGTCAAAATATCCAAATTTAAACTTCTAAAAAAAGTTTATTTGTTCACACGATGCCATCACGTTTTTTAGCTATGAGACCATATTTAATCTATTATTATTTTACCCATATTTTGCCTCCAGAAACTGAATGGGCCTAAGGTTACCATGAGAAGGAAGTCTAGCATGCAAACAATTCTTGAAAAAAGCTTCTGTCCATGGATTAAACTAGTAATCTCTAAAGACATTTTTTTACTAATACAATTGGCCAGAAAATAGAAACGAAGTATTAGGTACAAAGAAGATAAACAAAAGAGTATGTAAAAATATGGATTTCTGTTGCATGAACTATAAACAAAAAGTGTGGCTGGAGAAAAACTTACAGAAACTTTGGGCATCGAAGGTGTTACTGGGATTAATTGCCGGGACTGCTTAATAGCTAATTCCTCAAGCCTTTGTGTCGTGACAGATAACTACAAACAAATAATGAAATTATATCAACTGCAGTAAATGTTTTCTTTAAGCGCTTAAGAGGAGAAAGTAACCACCTCAGTTGACTGATGAGTAACACGAGATCGTGTTGGTGCCTGTGTTAAAGCCTCGGCCATCTTGCGTGGAGTTGTTGCATTTGGGGACCCCAAACCAGAATTGGCAGCAACACTCTGTTGAAGAAATGATGGAGCAGTCATACTGCCTGTGACTACAGTTGGCACCTCAGCCAGCGCTGATGTCCATCCTTCCCGACCAATCAAAGTTGAATTTCCAATAGGAAAGCTCTGAACAGATGTGGTCAAGCCAGGAGATGATACTCTACCTACATCTGGCCATCCTTGCCTTTCTTCTGATCCAAGTGATGGAAAATCCTCGTAAAAACCAGCCTTATCAGTGATACCGGTAATGGTACTTCCTGAATGAAAGCCATTACTGTTAGCCTTATGATTATAGCTTCCACTTTTCAAGTCACCAGCATGTCTTTGGGGATATAAATCACCAGGCTTCCTAGATACCATTGAATGAGAACGCCGCAAAGTTTCCTTCTCAACTCTACCAGTAAACGTGTTTACCAGAGGGCTAGAAAAGTCATGACCCCAGGGGTCCCCAAGATTAGACAGTTCTTTCTCCTTCTCACGGTCCCTATCATGATGATTCCTATTAAAACTACTGTAAGCATTCTTTCCAGACCCATTACTAGAACTCCTCCTTGAGCTTGATGAAGATGACCGATCCAAGAATTCAAAGTGTGGTTTATCCATATCGCTAATGCTCTTTGAAGTTCTACTCCTCGAGCATTGAGATTGAGAAGTACCATCTAGTAAACAAAAGTAATAACAAATTGCTGAATATAATGAAAAACCACAAAGGGAGAAAAAGCATTTCAACCATAGAATCTTTAAAATAAAAATAAGATAGTACTGAAAATCAATAGGTCAGTGTTATAATAAACTATAAATTACCGGTGTGAGAACTAGACGATGCAGATGGTTGAGCTGAATTCCCACTCCCAGAGAGACTTCCAGAAATTCTCAGCCACTCTGGAACAAATGTAGGTTCACTTCTTTCCATAATGAGAATTGAACATGATCAAGCATAACAGTATAATACTTCTTGCATCCTTAACCACCTTCTTTGAATAATTATCAACAAAAAGTACCACCAAAAGTACTAAGGATGGAAAGGAAAGATTTGATTCGACCTAAATAAAAATTTTAATCCTCATCTACTGACTTGCAGACTCCGCCCTGTCTTGCAGACTTATTCTCCACCGACAACAAAATCTGCCTTATAAATCATAACAACTACAAACCGGACATATCCATGCATGACAGTGAAATCAGTTCTGAGCTCTAATTCAGATTGACAACCGCAAAGTTTCGAAGCCTGGCCGCAAAAGAACGCAATGGCAATGATATAAAGACTATTCGAAAGAAAATGCAACGGAAGGAAGAAGAGCAACTCTCTTTCCCCCATCCATCTTTACCAAATAACGGACTGGAAGCAAGCGGCAATGACTCAGAAGCCTCTCATCTCAGCGTAAAACGGCAGTAGAAACAGGAATGAAGAATATACGTAGGTTGACAGAATTTGGAAGCAACACTTCAAACCCGGCAAAGAAATTCAATCAGAAGAAGACCCCTAAAGAGGAGCAAAACATCAGAGAAAACAACAAACAGAAGTGCAAATAATAAAACCCTAGAGCATAGTACATAACATAAACTTCGATTCCAGAATCTATAATCATAAACAAAACAAAAATAAATTCAAAAACTAAATAAACCAAAGTAAATCCTAACAAATGAGCAATACGAGGGGATTAACAAAAAAAATACTAACCCTTGAAATCAGTGATTGAAATTGGAACGAACCGAAAACAAAAGAAGTTCCGAGTAAGTAGTGGAAGGAAGGCCGTATCGCAACAATGCGTCCGAGAATAATGCAAAAACTCGAAAGCAGCAGATATGTATGGAGAAATCGGCGAAGAAGTTGAAGAAAATGGGGAGAGAATTTCGGGCGGACGCAATGGAAATTGAGTTTGTTCTTAATGGTCGGCATGCGAGAGACGACTAGAAGGGAATTGGAGGAAGCAAAGAGATTGAATACTAGGAATGAACATGCGAAGAACGGCACTCTTCTCTTCACAGGAGAAAATAAATAAAATCCTTTTTCATTAAAAATATAAAAAAAAAAACTATTTATATACATAATTATTCCTAATTTTTATAAATTAAAAAAAAATAATTTTGACAAAGTCATCTATTTAATAATTAATTTTCATTTTATTTTTTTTATTTGGTTTAGTTAGAGTCAATTATAATATCTTCTAATCTACTTCAACTAAATCTTTCAAAATCAAATCTGAGCCTTTTTTAGTTAAAATCTTTACCAATTTTTTCGAATTTTAAATCTAATTAATTTATTAACAACATGATTAACATTGTGATTAAGGAAAGTAATAAATGTACAATATTATTTATATAAATATATTAAGTTAGCGATGGAATTAAAAATAATACTTGGAAATACGAGGTCATCTCTTTTTTTTGTTTTAATATATATATATATTAGAAATTTGAGAATTGGAAAGGCAGAGGATCTAAATATAATAGTGCCTTATTTAGTAAATTATGTTTGAATGAGTTAGCAAGTAGAAAGATTTGTTTGTTTTTTTTGTGTTTTTTTTTTCTATTATTTTTATTTTTAAGTGGGATGGGAATCAATGAGTTCAAAGTTCTAAAAAAAATTATTTTAAAAAATAGGGTTAATTTAGTAGTTTGATTTTTTTTTTAAAACGACAAAATTATGTGAAGATTTAATTTTTTTTGTTGGCTAAATTAATTATAAAAAAAAAAACTAAAATTTTAAAGTTGGAATAATATTTTTAAAATTTTTAATATATATATAATAATTTTCTAAGAAAATTACCAATATTATATTTCAAAAATATAGGTAATTTTATTTAAACTTTAAAAAGTTTAATTTGTACTATTTAAAAAATATTTTTAGTATAAATATTATTTCGAAATTAGTATTTTAGAAATGTATTTGAGTATTTTTTTAATTTTTTTAAAAAAATTTAAAGATGTTTTTAAAGTTTTTTTTTTTTTAATTTTAAAGGTATTTTTAACTAAAAATAAAAGTATCCAAAACAAAATATTAACAATTTCATTTAAAATTAACAAAAATTATATATATTTTTTAATTAAAATTTTTTTAAAGATATTTTTTAAATACTATTAAATATGAATATTTTTAAAATTAGGAACCGTTCCATCTAAAATGAATATATATATATATATATATATATATATATATATATCTCGTACTTTGAATAGTAAATTTGAACCAAGAATATATATATCGTACTTTGAATAGTAAATTTGAACCAAGAAGATTTTCAGTCTTCTGCTCTACCAATTGAGCAATACCAGTCATTTCCGACACATTGTTAAGAAGATTTTCAGTCTTCCCGACACATTGTTAAGAAGATTTTCAGTCTTCCCGACACATTGTTAAGAAGATTTTCAGTCTTCTGCTCTACCAATTGAGCGATACCAGTCATTTCCGACACATTGTTAAGAAGATTTTCAGTCTTCCGCTCTACCAATTGAGCGATACCAGTCATTTCCGACACATTGTTAAGAAGATTTTCAGTCTTCCGCTCTACCAATTGAGCGATACCAGTCATTTCCGACACATTGTTCTTATTTATTTATTTATTTTCATAGCGAACCGGTGACACAAAGATTTTGAGTCCTGTGCTGAGTGATACCGGCCATTTTATTTCCTACTCATTATCCTTATTGTCAATAATATATATATATATATATATATTAATGTTTTAAAAGATTAAGGATGTATTCTAGATTTTTTTTTATAATCGGAGATTTTTGAAAATTTGAAAGTTATTTTTATTAATTCAAACATATATTTTTTTTCAAGTATATTAGGCGAAAATAATTTTTCGGGCCAAGCCCCGGTTTGGATATAGCGAATCCCAATTTGGGCCAAGGCACAGTGGGCTTTGGATCTAAGAGATACAAATTATTCTATTAAACTTATAAATAAATAATAATAAAAAAAAATTCATAATTCAACAATTCCAGAACGAATAAACCGGAAGCATATTGGGATAAAACAACCCAAAGTTCTGTTCAACCCCAGCCGTCTTTAAATTCTCATTGAACATCTCGAACAAAACTCCGTCGTATTTCACATTCGGCCTCCTCGGCGTTCCAGCGCCGCTCCTCACATGTTCCACGAAGTTCCTGTTATACGTCGCCGCATTTTCAACGCTCGTTAACTGATCGTTCCCTTTGCTCGGCCATCCAGTCTCCGAGATGTCGATTCGCACTCTCTCCGCGCCGATCTTCTCCAGCGCCGAGTAGAAAGAATCCACCATCGCGTCGAACAGATTGAAGTACTGTAAATTTCCGTCCACCACCACCGGCGTGGTGGATGTGAAGAGAGCGTAATCGAGCGAGATTTGTTGTGGGTTTGATGCGTATGCGAAATATGGGTACACGTTCAACAGTAATGGTGCGCCGGATGTCCCCAAAACTTGAGTGATGTCTTTTAGAGGTCCGATGGCGGTGGCAGAGAATGCTCCGGCGGAAGGTGGGTATGAGACTTCCAATGGTGTCATGGGCACCACAGTTGTCACCTGAAAAATGGCAGGGAATGATTAATGGGAGGAGACATACTTGAAGTAGATAATATCGTACCAAAGTCATGAGAACTTATATTCAAGTGGACAATATCATGCTAGTGTGAGGTCTGTAATTCTTAATATGGTATTAGAGTAATGCCCTAAACTTAGTCATGTCAATAGAATTCAAAATTGTGAGCCTTGAGAGTGGAGTCAAAAGTGACTTAAGTGTCGAAACAAGGGTGTACTTTGTTTGAGACCTCGAGTAAAGGGAGGTTGTTCGAGGAGTCTATAAGTATTGGGAATGCTCTATAGTGTACAAGTTGGAGAGAGAATTGTTGTTGAGGATTTTGGAGGGAGTCCCAGTTGCCTTGTTGGGACGGAGTCACTTGGCTAATTAGGGAATGATCCTGGGTTGATGGGTATGGGTGGATAATTTAGGGAATGAACATAGGTTTATGGGTATGGGTATGGGTGGCTAATTTAGGGAATGATAATGAGTTGATGGGTATAGGTGGCTAATTTGGCTAATTTAGGGAATGAACATGGGTAGCCAATTTAGGGAATGATCATGAGTTATGGGTATGGGAGTCCCTAATTTAAGAATGATCATGAGTTATGGGTATGGGAGTCCCTAATTTAAGAATGATCATGAGTCTATGGGTATGGGAGTCGCTAATTTACGAATGATCATGAATTCATGGATATGGGAGTCCCACAATGGCTAATTTAGGAATGATCACGAGTTTATTAGTATGAAAGACCCACAATGGCGATCATGAGTTTATGGGTATTGAAGATCCACGATGGCTCATTTAGGGGATGATCATCATGAGTCTAATGGAGTCACACCATGACTAATTTAGGGAATGATGGTCATGGGTTTATAGGTTTAGGGAGTTCCACCCACATCATCGTGGGTTTAGGAGTCCACGATGGCTAATGAGTTTATCTACTTGGGAGTCCCGAGTTTATGGATTTGGAACTGATCCTTGGTTTATGGGTTTGAAGTCCCATGATCCCCAATATAGGGAATATCATACCATAGATTAGTAATTCCTAAAATTTAACCCTCACCTTAATGTCGCTTTTGACGCCGGCAATAACAAGCGCCTGCATAATATTCTTAATAGCGTTGGCGACAAATGGCGCCGCCGCATCGCCAGGGACAACCTCATTACCGACAGTAATATATGCAATATTAACACTCTCGTAATAAGGAACAACATGAGCATTAACCCAAGAATTCGCCGCTAATTGGTCGGCAGCAAACCCCTGAATATCCTCATTTCTCGTCCCCAACCACACCACCAAATTCCTCCGCCCTTTCAACGCATCAAGAACCCAATGGTTGGGCTCAAATACCCGCACAATGTCTATCCCACACCGCCCATATAACTCAACCACGTCACTCGCCACCGGAAGATTGTCGCCGTTAAGCCCGTAGTTGACTCCGACCGCGCCTAACCCACCTAGAACACAAGCTCAACAAACAAGTGGGAGAAGACAAACAAAAAAACAATTAAAAAAAAAAAAAGGCGAAAAATTGATTACTTATGAGAAGGGCTTGATCGGAGAAGATGAAGAGGAGGAGAAGGGCGGCGGAGGGTGGGCGGAAGAAATCCATGTTGGTGTAAGGTGTGGTGAACCAGGCGGAGGAGATTTTATAGGGAACTAAAAATTAGGGGCGGGGATTACGAGAAAATTAGTTGTTTATTAGTGGGTTTCAAATTAAGGGATTAGCGAGGGAGATAGGAGGTGGACATTCTAATTATGTTTAATTAGGGGGTTTAATTAGCCTAATATGGGTGCCGTAGTTAATAATCCTCACAGCTTCTTCCATTTGTTGCCAAATCACCCAATGTGTTAATATGGAAATGACTTTCAAATTTTTTTTAGATTTCCCCAGCGTGAATCTAATTTTTTTTTTTTAATTTTATTATGACCTTAATGAAAAAGGTTTAATTAATTATTAATCCCTTTGAACTATATTTGAAAATGAATTAATATGATTTATTATAGATAATAAATTCGATTTCTTTCTATTGATAACTTGATAATTAAATTTATTACTGAGTAGCGCAGATATTTATAATAGTCAATATTTCATTTAAAAAATATTGGTAACTATGTTTAGGCAAAATCAAATTTAATTTTTTGTGTTCGCTAAATTAATTATAAAAAAAAACTAAAATTTTAAGGTTGAATAATATCTTTAAATTTTTTAAAATATATATATAATAATTTTTTAGGGAGATTATCAATATTTTATTTCAAAAATAACTATAACTATGTTTAAACTTTTAAAAAGTTTGATTAATATTAAGAGTAGTACTATTTATAAAATTTTAAATGCAGTAAAAATATTAGAGTTTTTTTTTTAATTTTTTTAACAAAATTTAGAGATGTTTTTAAAGTTTTGTTGTTTTTTTAATTAAATTTAAGGATATTTTTAACATGAATAAAAGTTAATCACCAAAACAAAATATTAATAATTTGATTTAAAA